GAGTAAAATAAACCCAAAGCAAGCAGGAGAACAGAAATAATAAAGAGCAGAAAATCAATGAAATTGAAAACAAAAACAACAGAAAAATGAAAACAAAAGCTAGTTTTTTGAAAAGACTAATAAATCCCTATACAATCTGACAAAGAAAAACAAGACACAATTGCCAACACCAGGAATAAAAGAGGGATACCACTACAAACCAAAAATGCTATAAATAATTACATGCCCATAAATTCAACAATTCAATATAATTAATTGCTCAAAGGCCATAAAGTACAGTAAAAATTCACTCAAGAAGTAGTAGATAACTTAAATATTCCTATATCTATTAAATAACCTGAATTCATAGTTTAAAATACTCTGAGAAAGAAAATCCTAGGCCCCTGCCAGGTACCGTGGCTCACATCTATAATCCTAACACTTTGGGAGGCCAAGGTAGGCGAATCACTTGAGGTCACAAGTTCAAGACCAGCTTGGTCAACATGGTGAAACCCTGTCTGCACTGAAAATACAAAAATTAGTCGGGCATAGTGGCACACGCTTGTAATCCCAGGTACTTGGGAGGCTGAGGCGGGAGGGTAACTTGAACCTAGGAGGCAGAGGTTGCAGTAAGCCAAGATCTCACCACTGCACTCCAGCCTGGGTGACAGAGTGAGACTGTCTCACACACAAAAAACAAAACCCTAGGCCCAGATGGCATCACTTCCCAATTCAGCCAAATATCTAAAGAAGAAATGACACCAATTCTACACGATCTCTTCTAGAAAATGGAAATAGAGTAAAAATAAAAACTTACCAATTCATTTTATAAGGCCACCATTACCCAGTTTCAAGACTTACTATACAGTAATTAAGACCATGTGGTATTAACGAAGGAATAGACACACACATCTTGAAACATAAAACAGAAACCAAAAACAGGCCTAGACAAATATGGCTAAAATACAAAGGCAATTCAAAGGGGTCAAAGTTGTCTTTTCAACAAATGGTATTAGAACAACTAGACATCCATATGTAAAAATAAACAAAAAACTTGGCCTAGCCCTCACACTTACACAACATTAACTCAAAGAAGATATATACCTAAATGTAAAGTGTGAAACCATAATACTTTTTTTTTTTCAAAATGGAGTCTAGCTTTGTCGCCCAGGCTGGAGTGCAGTGGCGCAATCTCAGCTCACTGCAAGCTCCGCCTCCCGGGTTCACGCCATTCTCCTGCCTCAGCCTCCCGAGTAGCTGGGACTACAGGCGCCCGCCACCAAGCCCAGCTAATTTATTTATTTATTTTTGTATTTTTAGTAGAGACGGGGTTTCACCGCATTAGCCAGGATGGTCTTGGTCTCCTGACCTTGTAATCTGCCTGCCTAGGCCTCTCAAAGGGCTGGGATTACAGGCATAAACCACCGCGCCTGGCCAACCACAATACTTTTATAAGGAAACATATGAGAAAATCTTCATGACCCTTGATCAGGTATGACTCCGAAGGCACAATCCATACAAGGAAAAAAATGACAAGTTGAATGTAAATTAAAAAAAAAAAAAAGTCCTGACCGGGCGCAGTGGCTCAAGCCTGTAATCCCAACACTTTGGGAGGCCAAGGCCAGTGGATCACTTGAGGTCAAGAGTTCGAGATCAGCCTGGCCAACAGGGTGAAACCCCGTTTCTACTAAAAGTACAAAAAAATTAGCCGGGCATGATGGTGCGTGCCTATAATCCCAGCTACGAGGGAGGCTAAGGCAGGAGAATTGCTTGAACCCAGGAGGCAGAGGTTGCAGTTAGCCGAGATTGCCTCACTGCACTCCAGCCTGGGCGACAGAGCAAGACGCTGTCTCAAAAATAAATAAATAAATAAATAAAAAGAAAAAAAGAGAAAAGGCAAGCTACTGAGATGGAGAAGAGATCAGTGGTTGCCAAGTGTTGGGACAGAGGTGGGGTTTGACTTGAAAGGTGAAGGAACTAACTGTTCTTTACCCTTATAGTGGTGACAGTTACAGGAATCTATGTGTTAAAACTGATACAAGTATATGTTTCAAAAAAGTCAAACTTACTATATATAACATTTGAAGATAATGAAAAAGGGCCAAATGTAACTAATGGTCTTTTAATAACTCCACTGCTATTTCTATTTTTATTGAAAATTACCACCAAAGCAAAGACAGTTTCCAAAAACAATAAATGTGTTACAATTACAGACACATAATCCCAGCACTCTGGGAGGTCGAGGTGGGCAGATCATGAGGTCAGGGGTTCAAGACTGGCCTGGCCAACAAGGCGAAACCCCATCTCTTCTAAAAATACAAAAATCAGCCAGGCAGGGAGGTGGGCACCTGTAATCCCAGCTACTCAGGGGGCTGAGGCAAGAGAATCGCTTGAACCCAGGAGGTGGAGGTTGCAGTGAGTAGAGAGTACACCACTGCACTCCAGCCTGGGTAACAAAGTGAGACTCCATCTCAAAAAACAATTACAGAAACAGACTTTGGACTTCCATTTCCAGAAACAGGTTAGAAACATTTTCCAATACTGAATTCCCTCAAAATGTTTTTTAAAAAGATGAGTTTGTGTTAAAGTAAGGAAAACAGTGGGAGCCAGAAACAAATACAGGCAGTTCTCTTATCTGAAACATTTGGGGCCAGTAGTAGTCTGGAATTCAGAATTTTGGAAGGTTTTACAGGGACAACACATTAACAGAAAGCATATTAATTAACACTCTAGCACCTACCTGGGACAATACCCCATAATCAAAAACCATCATATTTCTGCAATAAGTACAAACCTGCACTCATATAGGATTAGTACGAGCACCCAAGACAAAAATTCAGTTTTAAGTGGTACCAGAAGGGTAGTGACACAGGCCCCAGCTGCATGGCAAAAGAGAATGCAAAACACCTGAAATAACCTAATTTATACAGAATACATAGAGAATTCCCACAGATAAAAGTCCAAGAAACATGTTCACAGCCAAAAATTACTAAAATCACAAGCCACCAAGAGTCTGAATCTGAGGAAACAAAGAAATGCTGAATCAGGTTCACAAAACTGTAGACAGTAGAATTATCAGACAATAAATACACATTTAATAAAACTAAAGAAATAAAAGATGGGATCAAAAGTGGGATGAAGTGTGAAAGGAATAAGAAACTACAAAAAATGATCCATAGAAATAAAAAATTCAGTAACTTTTTTTCTTTGTTTGAGCTGGGGTCTTGCTTATTGCCCAGGCTGGTCTCAAAACTCCTGGGCTCAAGCAACCTTCTCACCTTAAGCTTCCTGAGTGGCTGGGAGTACAAGTGTGTGCCACTTCACCCAGTTTACAATAACTTTGTGGCCGGGCGCGGTGGCTCAAGCCTGTAATCCCAGCACTTTGGGAGGCCAAGACGGGTGGATCACGAGGTCAGGAGATCGAGACCATCCTGGCTAACACGGTGAAACCCCGTCTCTACCAAAAAAATACAAAAAACTAGCCGGGCGAGGTGGCGGACGCCTGTAGTCCCAGCTACTCGGGAGGCTGAGGCAGGAGAATGGTGTGAACCCGGGAGGCAGAGCTTGCAGTGAGCTGAGATCCGGCCACTGCTGCACTCCAGCCTGGGCGACAGAGCGAGACTCCGTCTCAAAAAAAAAAAAAAAAAACAAAACAAACAAAAAAAAAAAACAATAACTTTGTGATGAAAATAACATGCGGCCAGGTGTGGTGACTCATACCTATAATCCCAGCACTTTGGGAGGCTGAGGCAGGTGGATCACTTGAGGTCAGGAGTTCAAGACCAGCCTGACCAACATGGTGAAACCCCATCTCTACTAAAATATAAAAATTAGCCAGGTGTAGTGGTGGGCGCCTGTAATCCCAGCTCGTCAGGAGCCTGGTTGAGGGAAGGAAGGAGGGAGAGAGGGAGGGAGGAAATAACACACTGAAAACTTGATTCAGTAGTAGATTAGACCTCATTTTAGTTCACTGAGAATGAGTGAACTAAAAATCTGAAATCACTTAGCCCTTTGAGACACAAAGAACACTTAAGATGAAAAAGAAGAACATGAAGGCTGTCTAATCAAAATCCCAGGTAATAATTAAGAGTATAGAATTTCTAAACTAATAGAGAAGAAAAAAAACAGGTGCTCTTGTCAAAATGCTTCTAGGTCCACATTTACTGTACAACCTAGGGGAAGGTACCTAACCTTTCTAAGCCCTGGTTTTCTCATGTGTAAATAAGATAATCATGCCTACTACCTGCATAGAGGTCTTGTGACTAATAAATAAAATCCAAATATACACTAAGCACAGAACTTTTTTTTTTCTTTTGAGACGCAGTCTTGCTGTTGCCCAGGCTGGAGTGCAGTGGCGCAATCTCAGCTCACTGCAAGCTCCGCCTCCCGGGTTCATGCCATTCTCCTGCCTCAGCCTCCCAAGTAGCTGGGACTACAGGTGCCCGCCACCACGCCCGGCTAATTTTTTTGTATTTTTAGTAGAGATGGGGTTTCACCGTGTTAGCCAGGATGGTCTTGATCTCCTGCTGACCTTGTGATCCGCCTGCCTCAGCCTCCCAAAGTGCTGGGATTACAGGCTTGAGCCACTGCGCCCAGCCCTAAGCACAGAACTTAATAAATGTCACTTATTGGCCATTTTAAAAATAATTTTTAAAAATTTTATCTGCAAAGTGCAGTAAAATATTAATAAAATTAAGACTGAGGGAGGAAATAAGGCTATGTGGATAATGGTTTGATTTCAAAATCAGTGGAGGAGAAAAGTAGGACATTTGACCCTTTTTCATTTACTAATTCTGATAACACACTTCTTAGAAGGTCCAGTCACTCCAGATATCCCTCCTGCTCCTTTTCCATACACTGATCTGACTCTACTACACTCTCCAAATTCTCCCAAATTTACAAGTAGTTAGAGGAGGAAAAAAAAGATTCCAATAATTTTATCCCTCATCTGAAGTTCTGCTTTGTAAATTAAAAAAAGAAAGTGAGACACACACGTACACACAAGAAAATCACATACTCACTTTTCATTAGTTTTCCTGACAATTCTTTTAGCGGAGAAGCAGGACTATTTCTACTGGTTACTGTAAGTGTCGAGGAAGATTCTTGGGTTTCCATGGAAACTTGATGAGTTCCTGCTCTGGCCCTTTCAAGATGGAGAGAATGGGCACTGTCATATTCCTGGGAAAGCAGCAAGTGATTCTGAGTGCTGTTAGTTCTATTATTCAGGTCAATTCCTTCTGAATGAGTCATAAACAACTGTGCTGAGCCGGAATCCTCCAATCTCTTGTCAAGAGAATCAGTTAAAAAAGCTGCTGTAGTTTCGTGCTTTTTAGATGGAGAGACAGGCTCAGCCAGTGAGCTCTGCTTCACTGTGTTTAGACTGTGTGCTCTTATTCGCGACCAAGTTGTTGAGTGAAAACTTTCAGCCTCTAACCAAAATTTCACCAAATGCTCCATTCGCCGAAGTTCCATGAATTGAATGAAGTAAGGGAGGACAACAGTGTCATGCAAGACTTGTTCAAGGGTCTTAGAAAGGCTTGATTTGGTCTCTTGAGTCTGGTAGTTCAGACAAGATCTGCCTAAAAGATAGAAGCAAAAGAATTAGCAGTTCAGCAATAAATAATTTCAGATTGACAGATTAGTCGATCACTTTTAGCAATAACTGGTACCAGAGACCTTGAATAAAGTTTACTTCCTACCAACGAAAATAAATTTTAAAAACTACAAATAGGCCAGGCGCGGTGGCTCCAGCCTGTAATCCCAGCACTTTGGGAGGCCGAGACGGGTGGATCACGAGGTCAGGAGATTGAGACCATTCTGGCTAACACGGTGAAACCCCGTCTGTACTAAAAAATACAAAAAACTAGCCGGGCGAGGTGGCGGCGCCTGTAGTCCCAGCTACTCGGGAGGCTGAGGCAGGAGAATGGCGTGAACCCGGGAGGTGGAGCTTGCAGTGAGCTGAGATCCAGCCACTGCACTGCAGCCTGGGCGACAGAGCGAGACTCCGTCTCAAAAAAAAAAAAAAAAAAAAAAAACTACAAATACTATGCTTTTGGTTTCTAAACAAAGTACAATCCTCCAAAACTTGCCTAAATTATTAAAAAGTTCTTTGTAACTCAATAATTCTCATATCTCTTTTAATGGCAATTCAGATCATGCAAATTCTTTTTTTTTTGAGACTCTTTACTCTTGTTGCCTAGGCTGGAGTGCAATGGCACGATCTCAGCTCAATGCAACCTCCACCTCCCGGGTTCAAGCGATTCTCTTGACTCAGCCTCCTGAGTAGCTGGGATTACAGGCAACTGCCACCACGCCCAGCTAGTTTTTGTACTTCTAGTAGAGACAGGGTTTCACCACGTTGGTCAGGCTGGTCTCAAACTCCTGACCTTCGGCAATCCATCCGCCTCAGCCTCCCTAAGTGCCACGATTGCAGGTGTGAGCCACTGCACCCAGCCCAGACCATGTAAATTCTTAAGGAAAAAAACTTATGATACTAGTTCCAAAGAAAAGGGGCCAATAAAAATATTAAAAACTATACTCAACCTCATTAAAAATTCCAGAAAAGCAAATTAACATAAAATGCATTTTTACTGTCAAATTAGATTTTTTTCAAAAATTATTAAGCAGTAACAAGGGCACAGGAAAACAGGTCATGGGGATGTAACTGGCAAAACCATTTTGGTGGAGCATTCAGGAATAGATAGCAAAGTCTTAGCAAACCGCATGATTTTCAATTCAGTAATTACACTTGTAGGCACTTATCCTGAGGGAAAATTGTGGATATATCTACAAAGATGTTATGAACTCAGCATTATTCATTCATAGTAAGTTAAAGAGTAGCTTTGAGATTGTACCCTGAAAAACAAAACTAAACTTAATAAAAAATCATTTATCTTATATTTAACTAAATTTAAGTTATAATTATAACCACAAGATAATTGTTAGGAAAAACAAAAAAATTTTTTTTAAATTGGCTTTCATAGCAAGATCATAAAGATGGTTATTCTTATAAAGCTGACTGAGGGTTTCATCAATTTGTCAAAAGAGCTTTTCTTAATTCATTGATACTCAAGTCATTTTTTTGAAGTACGTCATGTCATCACATCAGTCTTACTGTCAATGTCAACTAGTTCATCTTTGTCAACATCACAAACTTGAGGAAATTCTGATCTTCTGCGAGATTTACAATTTCTTTTAATTAAATTCTATGAGATAATGCTAGATTCACATGAAGTTGTAAGATAAAATACTGAAAGGGCCAGGCGTGGTCGCTCATGCCTATAATCCCAGTACTTTGGGAGGCTGGGGCGGGTGGATCACTTGAGCCCAGGAGTTCGAGACCAGCCTGGGCAACATAGTGAAACCCCATCTCTAAAAAAATAATAATACCTGGAGATCCCTTGTACACTTTAGTTTCTCCCATGGTAACATCTTGCAAAGCTATTGTACAATATCACTCTAAGATACTGACAGTGATACAACACTCTAACTTACTCAGATTTCCCCAGTTTTACCTGTACTCATTCCTGTTTTTAGTTCTTTGTAATTTTATCACATTGAGATTTCTGCATCCACTGCCAAGACACAATTTCAACATCACAAGGATCCCTCCTGTTGCACTTTTATAACTACACCTACTTACCCCTCTCACCTCCCTGTCTCTAACGTCGGGCAAATACTCATCTTTTCATTTCTCTAATTTCTCTACTTCAAGAATAGTATCCAAATGGAATCATACTGTATGTAGCCTTTAGGGATTGGCTTTTGTCTGACAGCAAAATTCCCTTGATATTCATCCAAGTGGTTACATGTATCAACAGTTTGTTCCTTTTTATTGCTGAGTGGTATTCCATGGTATGAATGAACCAGTTCATTCACCTGCTGAAGAACATCCAGTTTTTTGATATTAAGCTGCCATGAACATTTGTGCACAGGTTTTTGCAGGAAGGTAAGTTTTCATTTCTTCAGGAAAAATGCAGAGTGCAACTGCTAGGTCATATGGCAATTGCATGTTTCACCTCATAAGAAACCACCAGCCAAGCATGATAGTTCACGCCTGTAATCCCAGCACTTTGGGAGGCCAAGGCGGGCTGATCACCTGAGGTCAGGAGTTCAAAACCAGCCTGACCAACATGGTGAAACTCCATCTCTACTAAAAATAAAAAATCAGCCTGGCATGATGGCAGGCACCTGTCATCCCAGCTACTCAGGAGGCTGAGGCAGGAGAGTCACTTGAACCCGGGAGGCGGAGGATGCAGTGAGACAAAATTGGGCCACTGCACTCCAGCCTGAGAGACTCGTCTACAAATAAATTAAAAAAACAAACAAAAAAAACTGCCTAGGTCAGGCATAGTAGCTCACGCCTGTAATCCCAGCACTTTGGGAGGCCCACACGAGTGGATCATTTGAGTCCAGGAGTTCGAGACCAGCTTGCGAAACATAGCGAAACCCTGTCTCTACAAAAATACAAAAATTAGCCAGGCGTGGTGGTATATGCCTGTAGTCCCAGCTACTCAGGAGACTGAGGTGGGAGGATCACCTGAACCTGAGGAGGCTGAGGCTGCAGTGAGTTGTAATCACGCCACTGTACTCCAGCCTGGGCAACAGAGTGAGACCCTGTCTCAAAAAAAAAAAAAGAAAAAGAAAAAGAAAGAAACTGCCGTTTTCCAGAGTGTCTGTACCATTTCAAATTCTCATCAGCAACTTATGAGTGATCCAGCAAAACTTACAATTTTACTCTGTGAGCTATGTGCATTTTGTTTGCTATGTATTATTGCTAAGTGTGACCCACAAACACATTGACACTGGTTTGAATATACACAAAAGTAGAGATGTCAAAAGAAGGACTGATTTTATTAGAAGTCTATTCGTTCATGGATCTTTTTTTCAACTTATGACAACATGACATGCAATTTTCTAAGTGCAAAAATTTGGTTAACAAATACTGAGAAAATAAAGGTATCCTGCATATGTTTTTGTTTTGGAAGAACTTATTTTAATATAAAGGATTTTACCATACACACTGTGATTTGCTTCTCACTTTCAAACATGCCTTAGACATTTTCCCACGTCTTTTTTAGACTTCTAAATGGCTACACTGAGCCAGGTGTGGTGGCTCAACGTCTGTGATCCCAGCACTTTGGGAGGCCTACGTGGGAGAATTGCTTGAGGCCAGAAGTTTGAGACCAGCCTGTGAGACCCCGTCTCTACGAAAAAATTAAAAAATTATCTGGGTGTGGTGACACATGCCTGTAGTCCTAGTAACTCTGGAGGCTGAGGCGAGAGAATAGCTTGCACCCAGGAGGTGAAGGCTGCAGTGAACCATGATCGTACCACTGCACTCCAGCCTGGGCAACAGAGTAAGATCCTGTCCCAAAAGAATAAATAAATAGAAACAAATGGCTACACTACACGCCAGAGCAATGCGTATACCACAATTTGGTTATTTCCCTCTAACAGATATATTTATGTTGTCCATAATTTTTTGCTATCACAAACAATACTACAATGAATAGCCTTAAACATACATATATACATGTGCATATGAATGAGCATATCTGAGGGCTAGGTCTTAGAAAGAGTGGCCTAAATGACATGCATATTTTATACTGATTTCCAAATTGCTTTCCAAAGAGTCTTCAACGAATTACACTATCACTAAATAGGAGGGGTATTTTTCCCTGCATCTTCACTAACATTCAAATTGTCAGACTTGAAATATATGCTAATGTGGGTCAGGTGCGTGGCTCATGCCTGTAATCTCAGCACTTTGGGAGGCCGAGGCGGGCAGATCGTGAGGTCAGATTGAGACCATCCTGGCTAACTCGGCCCGTCTCCACTAAAAATACAAACAATTGTATTATTTGTATTGTGGAGGGTGCCTGTAGTCCCAGCTACTCAGAAGGCTGAGGCAGGAGAATGGCGTGAACCTGGGAGGCGGAGCTTGCAGTGAGCTGAGATCCTGCCACTGCATTCCAGCCTAGGCGACACAACATATATATATATATGCTAATACATTAGGGAACATTAACTGATTATTTTAATTTGCACTTTCCTCAGTAATAAAGTGAGGCATCTTTTTCATATATTTATATTTAGTGGTCCGACATATTTCTTCTGGAAATGCTTGTTTTTCTACTGGGCATGCTTTATATTCTATACTTACAGGAACACAACACAGTGCTAACCATTATACTTGTAGTTGTTATTTTAAATACATTTTTTCCAAAGCATCTTCCAGTTATATAGTTCTGTATCCTATGACAGAAGTTTCACATATTGTACTCAAATCCTTCTATTGCAAGTTAACAAAAAATGATAGTTACTTACCCAGGTCACCAAAATGAGCGGCCTCCATGTGGCTTGGCTGCTTCTTAAGTGTGGCTGTCCTGCTACTTGAAAAGGAGTCCATGTTGGCAGAAATGGCATTGATTGCAACATGACTTGGTCCTGCAGCCTCCAGCAAGGCATGATTTTTAGTGCTTTTTTGTGGGGAATGTACGGATATTGAAGCTATAATTTTTCAAAAAATTGTTAAGAATTAACACAATTTGATAGCCTAAAATTCTCATAAGTGGGCTTTCAGAGAACTTTAAAAATTAAATTTTGTAACATTACTCTTAAGTCAGCATACTCAGCAAAAAATACTTTACAGGAAAAGTAACTTAATCAAGTGGCAGAAAATTGGGAAGAAAACACTCTATTTTTTTTTTTTTTCAGACAGTCTTGCTCTGTCATCCAGACTGAAGTGCAGTGGCATGATCTCGGGTCACTACAACCTCCGCCTCCCAGGTTCAAGTGATTCTCCTGCCTCAGCCTCCCAAGTGGCTGGGATTACAGGCATGAGCCACCACACCCAGCCAGAAAACATTCTAGTATTATTTATAATTCTCAAAATACTGTGCCAAAAAGTTAAAAGAGCGAGATCTTTCTCTGAGAACTTCTATTGTGTATAAAGAGTAACAAAGCCAGAAAGCATTCTAAAATATGGATTATTTTAAAATCCTTAAACCTTGCCTGCTTTAGGAACAAAATTAAAATTGCAGAATAAATGCTTAGGGTGGGAGGAAACCTAGAAAAACATTCCTTAGGCCGGGTGTGGTGGCTCTGCCTGTAATGGCAGTACTTTGGGAGGCCAAGGAAGGTGGGTCACCTGAGGTCAGGAATTTGAGACCAGCCTGACCAACATCGTGACACCCTGTCTCTACTAAAAATACAAAAAATTAGCTGGATGTGGGGGCAGGCGCCTGTAATCCCAGCTACTTGGGAGGCCGAGGCAGAAGAATTGCTTGAACCTGGGAGGCAGAGGTTGCAGTGAGCTGAGATCGCACCACCGCACTCTAGCCTGAGCAACAAGAGTGAAATTCCATATCAGAAAAAAAAGAAGATAAAGCACACTCAAAATTCTTAAAATATATTTTTAGTAGTCTGAAGAAATATCAGTATCACCCTTTTGGCTTCAGAATAAAGATAATTTCAGTCATTCAATAATAGTTGTGGGAATTACAAAATGAAGAGTGACTGTCTTCAAACTATTTTTTCAATTTTAAAGGAAGGTTTATTTTTATTTTCATGAGAAATTGGAAGGAGCAAAATAATTTTTAGCTTATTTATAAACAAAAGCCAGTTTTCGTGTTCAGACAAGTATGAGTCTATAGGAATTGTGAGACTCTTGCATTGTTTCTTAATTAGATGTATATAATATAAAATGCTATTAACTCATTTGTACAAGGCTTTCCCTGGTCCCTCCTAACATCTCTGTTAGAACTAGTAACTTATTTTTACCACTCCTTCCTGATAGTCTATCTTTCTTGGTCTCCATGGTATTATATTCTCCTAATTTCCTCTTCTATCTGCTCATTCCTTTCATTCTTAAAAGAATACCCATTTATCAATGCCCAGTGTGTCAGATATGGCCTGCTTCTTTGGCTCCTCTTCTTGACGCTATCTGTTCTTCTTTTATTCTTTCTGCTAGAAAGCATATTTACTCTCAAATCTTTAATTATTACTACAGCAATACTTTTCAAACTGTTTTAAAGCTGCGACCTCCTTTGCTTACCCCCAAAATAAACTTAACAAGGGGTCGGGCGCGGTGGTTCATGCCTGTAATCCCAGAACATTTGGAGGCCGAGGCGGGCGATCACGAGGTCAGGAGTTTGAGACCAGCCTGGCCAACATGGCGAAACCCCATCTCTACTAAAAATACAAAAAAAAATTAGCTGGGCATGGTGGCACGTACCTGTAATCCCAGCTACTTGGGAGGCTGAGGCAGGAGAATCGCTTGAACCCGGGAGGCGGAGGTTGCAGTGAGCCGAGATCTTGCCACTGCCCTCCAGCCTGGGCGACAGAGCGAGAATCTGTCTCAGAAAAAAAAAAAAAGTAATTCTGGCAAATTCAAAGGGAACATCTTACTCACACCCTCCACATGGACTCTTTGCAACAGCTCCTGGGGTATACCTCTGCAGAGCAGATGAGAAATCCCTGATCTCTATCTGTGAATTGTCTTTGACCTGGACTTTGGTCTTGTATCACTGATTACCGCTACTAGGCATTCCCACCCACACTGACTTTACCATCTTCAGCACAATCTATCTAAATATCAACTTAAAACATCATCGTCTGATTCTCCTCTCAATTTCCCTGTCTGTTCAATCCACCAGTCTCCAAAACTCAAAATCTTGGTCCCATTCTTTTTCACTGTATCTGTTTACTTGCCAAGATTTGTTGACTTTTCCTTCAAGATGTTTAAACATTTACTTACCTGTTTATTTTTAACACCACACCCTCAGTGCAAGTCTGTCTATATTATAACAAAAAAACTTCTGGGGTCTCCATCCTGCAAATCTCTTCCAGACTAACCTTTCATAAACACCACACTTACAGCATCAGTATCTTGCTCAAAAACCTACAGTGGCTTCCTGCTTCCTGTCTCAATTCTCTTTTCTGGTCTTTACAGCCTTCTATACCTTCATCTCAATCTTTCTGTAAAAATCTCCCTTTACTTGTCTGAAGGCCCCTCTGCCCAATATATCCTCAAATAAGAAGCTGGGCTGCTAGGGAGAAAAGAGAAAGAAACTCTCATTCAAATCTTTCTTAATCTTCAACTTTTATACAAGGTAAGTGTCATTTCCATGAAGTCTTCCCTAAACTTCAGAAATCATTTGCTGACCTCAAATTCCTCTGAACTCCTTGTAATGCTTCACTTAGTTTGATGAATTCAACAAATTGAAGGCTATGTTAAAACTAGATAATGATAGCTACCAATGGAGGACCTATTATATACCAGGCACTACACTAGTTTCTCTATGTATCTTTTTTTTTGGATATGATTTCATCTATCTCTCATGACAATCTTGTAAGACCATATTTTCCTTATTTTAGAGGTGAAGACAAAAATGAAAACAAGTTGAATACTTTGCCCTAGGTTAATGAGCTAGTAAACAGCCATTTCAACAGGCGGGATTTCAACCTAGGTTTGCTAGACTCTAAAAAATCACTCTCTAACCTGTGGTTTACAATTCAGACCTTAAAATTACTGTGCATATAAAATAACATATGTAACATATGTAAATGAATGACTCAAAAGCACCTCCCACCCAACATAACAAAACTGAACATATAATTTCCTGGCTTGGTTCTGTCAGGCAAGTCAGAAGGTAGGTATCAATCTTAAATATTCCTCTCTCTCACACCTCATATTTAATCAATAATAAACTTCTATCCATTTTGCCTCCTAATGTTTTTTCAAGTCTGTTCAGATCTCTTTATTTCCATCACTACCAATCTAGGCCAAGTCATCTGTGGAATTACTTGATTAATATTCCTCTCCCCTATTAATCTGGAAGTTCAATGAGGGCAGGACCTAAGTCTTTTTTGTTTACCGTTACAGTCAGTTTTTGTCTAATGCCCAGAATAGAAGAAGTGTTCTATAAATGGCAGCTATTATTATTTTGGTTTATTTGCTACTGTTCTGTATATAAGTTTGTCTTTCTAATGAGACTGCAAACGTCTTGAGGGGCTGTTTCTGGTACTGCTTCTGTATTATCCTAAGGTTAAGTCAGTGAATGTTAAGCACAGGTTATATACTATCATAATCAGAGTATGAGCATAGAATTTTTTAACCCGGTAGAGATTTAAAAATTAACTAGGCCAATCCCCTCATTCAACAAATAAAGAATCTGAAGAAAGCTACAACTTCCCAAGGTCGTACTGTTAGTGGCAAAGTTTAGAGTGAAAGACTGGTGTTCTCACTGCCTGAGACGTCTAAGTTCCTTCCTTCTACTACAATCAGATCTAGTCTTTACAGGTCTCTGCTTGAGAAGGGCTTTAAGCCTTTATCACTGCCAATCAAATTTTGCTCAAAGAAGGCAGTTTGAACTAATGTGGAATCCAACTGGCTTTAAATAAGAAATAAGTAAAGTAGGCTGTAAAGTACCTTATTTTTTTCCCCTAATTTTACAACTTTCCTAGGTTATAATTAGTCTTCTTCTCCAGCAAATTGAGCATGTAGAATACTCAATGCGAGCAATGCAACATAAACATATTTGAAAGAAAAATCTAAATAAGCACCAATCTACAGATTTTACAGAAATAAACTGATGAAATTAATATGTAATGACTATGGAAACAATTTCCATTATAATTTTCCCATTTCAATCTCTGTACACTGGACAAATAAAATCAGTGAATAATATAGCATCTTTAAAAAGTATGCTCTAATCTATAAACAACGACAATGTATCAATCCCAACAAAAAATAAACAAAACTAATATATTTTAAATTAAGTTTGTTCATTCAAATAAAAAAGCAAAAACTGTAATCAACCATACTTCTGGATAAATAGCGCCAGTGCTTTCCAGCAGTTAACAGACTGCTCAGTTAAGAGTATTCTTCATTTTTCGTCTTACTAAATAAAGTCAACTAATCACTTTTAGGGAACAACTAAATGTGTGATTAATAAGAAGGGCACTGGTTCACTGTAATCACTAGGGTAGCCAATACACAGAAGGCTCAGTAAAAGCCTACTTATGGCCGAGCGTGGTGGCTCACGCCTGTAATCCCAGGAGTTTGGGAGGCTGAGGTGAGTGAATCACTTGAGGTCTGCAGTTCGAGACTGGCCTGGTCAACATGGTAAAACCCTGTCTCCACCAAAAATACAAAAATTAGCTGGGCATGGTGGCGGGCACCTGTAATCCCAGCTACTCGGGAGGCTGAGGCAGGAGAATCGCTTGAACCCGGGAGGTGGATGTTGTAGTGAGCCGAGATGGCACCACCACACTCCAGCCTGGGCGATAAGAGCAAAACTCTATCTCAAAAAAATAATTAAAGTAAAAAAACCTACTTATTATATGCTAGGTGTTAAAGTGTTATACAGGTTAAAGAGGGAAATAAATCAAAATCATAACTAATTATAAAATAAGGCAGAAATGATTAATGCCAAAAGAGAGAAGATAACAGGATTAAAGAGTCCACAAATGCAAAGCACATCACTTTCTAACGCAGTGGATTGCAAAGGGCAGAACTTACCTTTAATGGACTTGACATCTGAGGTCTTCTCTTGTTCTTTGCCTTTCACTAGAATATAAAAAGATAATTATGACCAATTTTGCAGTCAGAGATCCACTCAATAATATTGTAAAAATTAGACCAGCTTTATTCTAAGATGAGTATTCAAAGTTCTAGAACAATGCACAGCCTTGGAGGACAGCACAGGAGGGCAGTTGTCAGCAAAGGCTTCTCTAAGGAAGTGACCTTGAAACAGCATCCAGTCAAAAGAGTTGAACCTGCTTATGGAGAAACAATGTAGTCACGGACTCTACCACTTATAAGCCACGTGATCTTGGACAAGTTACTTTACTTCTCTGGGTCTTAATTTTCTCGATTTATAAAATTAGGTCAATAATAAAAACTACCTTAGAGGGTTATTGATGAAAAAAAAAATACCTGTAAGGGGCTTAGAAGGGTGACTAGCACAGTAAATTTACGACAAATGTTAACCAATATTATTACCACGTGTCATCCAGAGTACTAGCTACTAGAAGCATAGTGAAGAAAGTTCTCTGGTTGTGTATCACATATTACTTCTTATTCTTCCCATAGCATCAAGTAAAAACATCCTAAACCTCTAACACTCAAAGTATAATAATTTGTCTGGGCCAGGCATGGTGGCTCACGCCTGTAATCCCAGCACTTTGGGAGGCCAAGGCGGGTGGATCACCTGAGTTCAGTAGTTCAAGATCAGCCTGGCCAACATGGTGAAACACCATCTCTACTACAAACACAAAAAAATGAGCTGGGCGTGGTGGCGGGCACCTGTAAGCCCAGCTACTTGGGAGGCTAAGGCAGAGAATTGCTTGAACCCGGGAGGCGGAGGTTGCAGTGCGCCAAGATCACGCCACTGTACTCCAGCCTGAGTGACAAAGGGAGACTCCATTTAAAAAAAAAAAAGATAAAAAAAATTTGTCTGTAAAATAATCATATAATTGCTTCTTTATTACATAAAACAGTAAAAATTCTGCTGTAGATAATATGACATCCAAGATAAGAAGGTGCCCAGCAGCTTAAGCCAAGTGTGAATTCTATTATAGGATCTGACATAAGACTATTTTAAACCCCCTTTTCTTTCTTTTTTTTTTTTAACATTAAACTTTTAAAAATCTTACTAGGAAAAGGTTATCAAAATAAGAAATGCCAAAACGTGCCCATCTCTCTATTTGTGCTCTTAAACACTGAAAGGTGAAAGGCTAGTAGCAGGAAATAACTCGCCCCCAGAGTATCTGGTTGAAGTCGATACATCAACTGTTGAGTGCTTAGTATGTGCCAGACACGCTCCCAGCTCAGAAAAGGCAGTGATTTTGCCTTCAAAAAGTCTACATTCAAGTGTGTGGAGACTAACATGAAAAAAATAAATAAGATCGTTGCAGGTACTCATCACTGCTATCAGGAAGACAACATTTAAAAATGTTGTAGGGTGACTGGTGTTTGCAGCCCTCTCAGCAGCATCTGCCCATGGACTACATCACTCACTTGAAACATTAACTTGCCTTGGCTTCCTTGACTCCTCTCTTCTGCATATACATCTGTATTCCCTGGCTGTTCCTACCCATTCTTAAGGCTTACAATACCATATATATGCTGTTACTCCTAAATTTATATCTCCATCTTAAATCTTTTATCTCAAATTCATATAGCTAACCATCTACCTGCCATCTTCTATAATTCCACTTGTCTAAAAGGGAACATGTTATCTTCTCCCAAAACTGTTCCTACCTCAGTCTTCATCTTCCCTCATGAATGACACTGTCATTCACCCACTACTCAGACCAAAATTCTGGAAGTCATCCTTAACATGGTCTGTTTATTACCTTCCACATACAAACTATGACCAACTGATTCTACCGCTAAAATAAACCGCCACGGTTTCACTTTTACCACCCTAAAAACATTCTCCTACTAACACCAGATCTCCTATGTTATACTTCTAACAGACATGCAACTCAACAATCAAATATCAGCATTTTGCTGCATTTCCTTCTGTCCCCCTAAGTATTATACATAGAGTTTAGAGTTCCCATGAATCACCACCTGACCCTTCCTTTCCCAGATATAAATACTATACTAAATTAGATATTTTCTGGCTGGGAACGGTGGCTCACGCCTGTAATCCCAGGACTTTGGGAGGCCAAGGCGAGTGGCTTACTTGAGGTCAGGAGTTCGAGACCAGCCTTGCCAACATGGTGAAATCCCATCTCTACTGAAAACACAAAAATTAGCAGGGTGTGGTGGCGGGTACCTGTAGTCCCAGTTACTTAGAAGGCTGAGGTGGGAGAATCGCTTGAACCCAGCAGGCGGAGATTGCAGTGAGCTGAAATTACACCACTGTACCCCAGCCTGGGCGACAGAGCAAGACTCTGTCTTAAAAAATAAATAAATAAATAAATTAGATGTTTTCCTTCCATGTCTGTTTTTTGACTACGACCACATCCAAATACTTTCTTTTTAATTTTTATTTTATTGAGACAGGGTCTTGCTCTGTTGTCCAGGCTAGAGTGCAGTGGCCTGATAATACTCGAACTCCTGGGCTCAAGTGATTCTCTCACGCCACCATGCCTAATTATCCTTTCTGTTGTTGAGATGGGGTTTTGCTATCTTGCCCAGGCTAGTCTTGTACTCCTGGGCTCAAGTGATCCTCCTGCCTCAGCCTCCCAAAGTGCTGGGATTACAGGTGTGAGCCATCACACCCAGCCAAATGTATATATACATTTTAATAGTATTATTCTGCACATCTTTAAAAATTACGTGAATGGCTAAGCACAGTGGCTCATGCCTGTAATCCTAGCACTTTGGGAGGCCGAGTTGGGTGGATCACTTGAGGTCAGGAGTTCAAGACCAGCCTGGCCAACACAGTGAAACCCCGTGTCCACTAAAAATATAAAAATGAGCTGGGCATGGTAGTGCATGCCCGTAACCCCAACTACTCGGGAGGCTGAGGCAGAAGAATCACTTTAATCCAGGAAGTGGAGGTTGCAGTAAGCGACATCATGCCACTGCACTCCACCCTGAGTGACAGAGTAAGACTCTGTCTCAAAAAAAAAAAAAAATTAATTACACAAATGGCACTCCACACATATCTGATCTGTATTCATTCAATAATCTGACATGACTATTGATGCAGTTCTAGTTCATTCATGCAGCTCTAGTTTATTCATTTTAGCTATTTAATTCCTTTATAAATATACCTTTATTTACTCATTTTCCTGTTAGTGAACATTTACTTTATTTCCTAATTTTCACTTAAATATTCAACTGATGAACATTCTAGTACATGTGTTCCTATGCATATAAGCAAGAATTTCTCTAGAATAAACCTCTAGAAACGGAATTGCTAGGTAACAAATTATGTGCATTTTTTTTTGGCCAGGAGCGTTGGATCACGCCTGTAATCCCAGCACTATGGGAAGCAGCTCACCTGAGGTCAGGAGTTTGAGATCAGCCTGGCCAAAATGGCAAAACCCTGTCTCTACTAAAAATAAAAAAATTGGACGGGCGTGGTGGCACACGCCTGTAATCCCAGCTACTCAGGAGGCTGAGACAGGAGAATTGCTTGAGCCCAGGAGGCAGAGGTTGCAGTGAGCTGAGATCATGCCACTACATTCCAGCCTGGGCGAGAGAGACTCCGTCTCAAAATAAATAAAAAACAAATTATGTGCATTTTAAATGAAAGTGACTGTACCAGTTCCACGTACTCAGATAGCCACGCATCATAGTCTCATCCTTGGTATTTTTAATTTTGCCAACTTATTAGTTTTGAAATGGCATTTGATGTTTTAAATTCATTTCCTTGTTCCTCTGAGGTTAAAATATCCTTTCATGTTTATTGGTCATTTTGGTTCCTCTTTTATAACTGCCTCTTCATGTCCTTTGTCTTTTACTTATTACCTGTAGAAACTGTAGAAATTCCATACATGTCCTGTATGCAAATCTTCTCTTCTGTAAGTATCTTAGGTATATTTTATTGTATGAAAGTTTTAGGTTTTTGTTTTGTTTTGTTTTTTGAGATGGAGTCTTGCTCTGTCGCTTAGGCTGGAGTGTAGTGGCGCAATCTCGGCTCACTGCAAGCTTCGCCTCCTGGGTTCACGCCATTCTCCTGCCTCAGTCTCCTGAGTAGCTGGGACTACAGGCACCCACCACCATACCCGGCTAGTTTTTTGTATTTTTAGTACAGACAGGGTTTCACCATGTTAGCCAGGATGGTCTTGATCTTTTGACCTCATGATCCGCCCACCTCAGCCTCCCAAAGTACTGGGATTAAGTTTTAATGTAGTCAAATTTACACAACATATTTTCCTGTGTCTTATGTTAAACAATATCCCTTCTTATCCCGAGATCAGGACTTTCCCCCCTACCTGTTCTTCTACATGATTTTAAGTTTTGTTTTAACATGCTGGGCTCTTATCTACCTAGAATTTGTTTTTATATCAAGGATTGGCAAACTGCGGCTCATGGGCCAAATCCAACCCACTACCTTTTGTTTCGTTTTGCTTTAAGACTCCATCACCCAGGCTGGAGTGCAGTGGCGCTATCTTGGCTCACTGCAACCTCTGCCTCCTGGGTTCAAGTGATTCTTGTGTCTCACCCTCCAGAGTAGCTGAAATTATAGACACGCACCACCACGCCCAGCTAAGTTTTGCATTTTTAGTAGAGACGGGGTTTCACCATGTTGGCCAGGCTGGTCTCAAACTCCTGACCCCAAGTGATCGTCCGCCTCAGCCTCCCAAAGTGCTGGCCATGCCTAAACTGGCCCACTACAGGTTTTTGGAAGTAAAGTTTTATTGTAGCACAGCCATGCCCATTTGTTTACATATTATCTGTGGCTTCAAGGATAGAGGAGAGTGTGACAGAAACCATATGGTCTGGAAAGCCTAAAATATTTACTATTTGGCCCTTAACAGAAAAAGTCTATTGGTCTGATATGTATGAGAGGAGGCGGGAAATTATTTTTTGCCAGATAATGGATAATTGGCATCATTTACAGATCAGTCTATCTTTTCCCAACTAGGAACTCTTTTTATATC